ATTAATAGGTCGAAATGATAAGAAGTGGAAGCCATACCTACACTAAACTTGAAATAATATCAGTGCGTCAATATTAGCGCGAAGTTATCAAAAAAGTTATCATATATTGCAATTGTACTTGTATCATCTGAATTGTATCATTGATAAGTCGACTAATAAGAAACGTGAAACAAAACGTCCATTAACCTAAATATATTCGAGTGTGCCGCAATAACTCGAGGTAACAAAAAAAAGTGAAAGCCGTTTACAACTCCCTGTAATGCCGAATCAGAGCGCAGCTCCTGAGGAGGAGCAGGAGGGGAAGGTGCGGAGTGGGGGCGTTGCCTTTCCTCCTCTCCTGCTCGCCGCCCATTTAGGGGAAAATTTTCTGCTAAATTTGGCGGGGAAATTTTTTTGCTAGATAAAGCGGGGAAATTTTACCGCTAGCGGGGAAATTTTTCGCTAAATCTAGCAGGAAATTTTTCGGCTGCGGAGAAGCTTTTCCGCTAAATTTAGCGGGGAAAATGTTCCGCTAAATTTAGCGAGGAAAATGTTCCGCTAAATTTAGCGGGGAACATTTTCCACTAAATTTAGCGGAAAATTTCCCCACTAGATTTAGCGGGGAAAATTTTTCGCTTAATGCAGCGGGGAAAATTTTCCGCTAGATTTAGCGGCGAAATTTTTCCACTACAGGTAGCGGGGAAACATTTCCGCTAGATTTAGCGGGGAAAATTTTCCGCTAGTTTTACCGGGGACATTTTTCCGCTGAACAGCAAGGAAAATTTCCCGCTAAATTTAGCGGGGACATTTTTCCGCTAAATTTAGCGAAGAAAATTTTACGCTAGATATAGCGGGGAAAAAATTCCGCTAGGCTTCGCGGGGCAAATTTTGTGCTAAATCTAGCTGGGAAGATTTTCCGCTAGATTTAGCGGGGGAAATTTTCCGCTAAATATAGCGAGACAATTTTCCGCTAGATTTAGCGGAGAGAATTATCCGCTAAATTTAGCGGGACAAATGTTCTGCTAGATTTAGCAGGAAAAACATTCCGCTAGACATAGCGGAAAAATTTTTCGCTAGATTTAGCGGGGAAGCTTTTCCGCTAGACTTTGCGGCGCAAATTTTCCGATAAATCTAGCTGGGAAAATTTTCTGCTAGATTTAGCGGGGGAAATATTCCACTAAATGTAGCGGGGAATATTTTCCGCTTGATAGAGCGGGGAAAATTTTTCCGCTAAATTTAGCGGGGAAAATGTTCCGCAAGATTTAGCAGAAAAAATTTTCCGCTAAATTTAGCGGGAAAAATTTTCCGCTAGATTTAGCGGGAAAGCTTTTCCGCTAGACTTCGCGAGGCAAATTTTCCGATAAATCTAGCTGGGAATATTTCCGCTAGATTTAGCGGGGAAAATTTTCCGCTGAATATAGCGGGGAAAATTTTCCGCTAGATTTAACAGGAAAAATTTTCCGCTAGACTTAGTGGGACAAACTTTCCGCTAAATCCAGCTGGGAAGATTTTCCGCTAAATTTAGCGGGGGAAGTTTTCCGCTTAATATAGCGGGAAAAATTTTCCGCTAGATTTAGCGGGGAAAATTTTCCGCTAAATTTAGCGGGGAAAATGTTCCGCTAGATTTAGCAGTCAAAATTTTCCGCTAGATTTAGCGGGGAAATTTTTCCGCTAGATTTAGCGGGGAAGCTTTTCCGCTCGACTTTGCGGGGCAAATTTTCCAATACATCTACCTGGGAAAATTTTCCACTAGATTCAGCGGGGAAAATTTTCCGCTAAATATAGCGGGGAAAATTTTCCGCTAGATTTAGCGGGGAAATTTTCCGCTAAATCTAGCGGGGGAATTTGCCCATCATGCACCGCGTGATTACGCCGACGCCGCTTAAGCCGGAAACAGGTGCCTAAGAGCTGCGCTCTAAAAAGAGTAAACCAACATATCAGTTAAGCCTCGTCAATAGTGGGACAAGTAACTCAAAGTAACCACATTAGTGATCAAATTCTCAATTCCCCCCAAAAAAATTCAAATTGTATAAACAATTATTATAAGTTACCAAATGTGTAAGCAAAACACGACCACTGAACACAATAAGTGCATATATATATTGTGGATTAAATTGACTGACCCCGGGATTAAATTGTGTGGCGCTTGGATTAAATTGTATGGCGCTTGGATTAAATTGACTGACCCCGGGATTAAATTGGTCGTCGCTTGGATTAAAATGAGCGGGAAAACCTGTAGACTACCGACTGAAGGTAGCGGCGTGGCCGATCGGATTCGATTGTTCATCTCTATCAAATCTTGGCGGTAGCTCGCCTCGTCGTTGGTAGACGGTTGCTGTTGCGAATCAAAGGCCTTTTGCAAGAGCCGGACTTGCTCGGGGCCGGCATGAGAATGCAGTTTCTCTCCGTGCAACGATAAGAGCGTCCCGACCGGAATCTTTTGTTTCGCAAATAAGCTCAACGTCTCGGCCGCAACCCACACGCCGTCCTTGTCCAGGGCCCACGCTCGCAAACAAAATCCTTTAAGCTCGAGCGGATCTTGGATTGTGGACAGCGTCTCGTACAGGTTGACGAGCTTGCGGAACGAGGACGAGGTGGGCGTCATTTTCAACTTTGCAAAGTTTCGCTTTATGTGGTCGGCGTACGTCTCGTCCGCGTGGCGACCGGCAAGTGGATTCGCGAACGTTTTGAGATGCAAATTCTCTGAAGTCGACTAGGCCCGGGGTAAAGTCAACGGCTACGTCGCCGACCTTTTCGAGGAAAGCTCGACGACCGGGCATGGTGAGGGCGTACTCTGCAAAGAGCCAGGCGAGTAGAGCCTGAGCATCCGAACCGACGACGCGGTTCTTGGCCAGTATCCGCGACCACGCGGCGTCTGCGTCCGCGTTTTTGACTTTGGCGAGCCAATACGCGTAGCACATCCAATCCGCATCGGGCCAATTTTCTTCGATCGCATTGTACAAATAGACGTAGGCGTCCATTTTATTATTTATTGAGCATGACGTACCCAGCGTAGGCGAGTGCCGTCAACGACACGCAGTACGGCGAACACAACATTAGGACGACCTTGGTGTCGCCGGCCTTCTTCTTTATCTCCTCGTCTTCGTAGTGAGAAAGAGGAGGTGATGTCTCGTCTTCCTCCTGATTCCTCGGCGCTTCGGAGTATATGTTTCGATTGTAATTTTCGTGCGCGTAGCGCATTCGTCTTTCGTACTCGGCGTCCGAGAGCACGACGAACGAAGCCGATCGATTCAGATCCACCCTCAATGTGGCGTTTAAATTTAACAAATCAATCTTGTAACGCTCCACGTCTCGCTGATTCAACAGGCGAAGCGTGTCTCTATCGGCGACGGCCGGTGCCACGTCTATCTGCTCGGCGACCTCGCGCACAGTGTACTCGCTGATCTGGTGCCAGATACCGTCGAGGTGGCCACCGACCAACAAATCGTCTGCCCTGACGTCATTAGAAACGCAAGTCAACAAGACCTCTACCAGTGCCCACTGGACGTTCATCTTGCGTTTCCAAAAGGACATGACCACGCCCTGAACGTCGTAGGGAATCAAGCGCAACAAATTTTCGTACGCATTCTTTAAATAAAGTTTTGCCTTTGGCGTAAAATGGACCCCCATTTTTCTCAGTCCGGCTTCGCGGACGTATTCGTATCGGTCCCTGGTGATCTTGTCCTGCACTGGAGCTGCGGGCACGCGGAGGAAATCGGTCAACTCGCCTTCGCGTGTAGATAACCTGAGCGTAAACCTAGTGTCGAGACTGAACCAGTGTGCGAGCGACGCTTTAAAGTCTTTGAAAGGTGGAAAGGTCAAAATGTACTCTACTAGCAGCCACGTCAGGTAGCGTCGTCGCGTCGCTGGTTCCATCTCGGTGGCGGATATTTCGCTCAAACGCGAGTACCAATAATCGTAACATTTATTCTCGTAGCTACTCCTATTTTTGCGAACGTGCTCGTACAGAGCTTCCAAAGAAACACCTTCGACAATCATTCGTACGTATTTTATTAAGACCATAGATACCATCGGCCTTTCTTGCACGGCACGTAGTTTTCGCAATGTCCAGAGAGTGGTGCAATAAACTCGTGCGTAAACTCGTGGTCCGTGTTGACGCACACTTGTCGAGAGAGTCTTCGCAGGTCTCTTCGGTACGCGAGAATGTCCTTCTCCAACTTGTCTCGCTGCACGTTGTCCGGGTCGAAAGACGCACTCAACTGGTCTCGAATGTTGCGCAGCATGTCGTTCCGGATCTCGCCTCGAATCCAGTCGAGATGCCCGTCAACGATGTCGTAGACACCGACGCCCACCTTTATGCAATAGAGAAGAATCTCGACGAGAATCCACTCGGGCCTTGGGCTTTCTCCAAAAGTGCAACACCAGCTCGCGCGTGTCTGCGTCCGACAGTCCGTGCAATCTTTCGTACAATTCCATGAGGTTCGAGACGATTGTCGGAGTAAAATATATGCCCAGCTTCTCCATGGCAATCTCCACTTCTCTAACGTAGGTGTCATATTCGTCCGAAGAGGGAGGTATCGGCGCAGTCATAAAGTTTTTCAACACTCCTGCGTCGAACTTGTCCCTTCCACCAGTCCACAGGTTGTATCTCGTTTGAAATTCTTCTACCGACGGTAGAGTATTGGCGTATTCAATCACGCACCATTCGAGTATAGTCTTGTCAGACAGTCCCCGCTTGTCCAGTGGAAGAGTAGCGACTCGTACTGGAGCCTGGTCGGCCGAAACGGGATCGCTGTTGACCGAAGCAGCTGGTGTAGGAGCAGTCTCGCACGTGCACGATTCGAGTATAGGCTTGTCGGACGGTCCCCGCTTGTCCGATGGAACAGTAGCGACTCGTGTTGGAGCCTGGTCGGTCGAAACGGGATCGCTGTTGACCGAAGCAGCTGGTGTAGGAGCAATAGTAGCGTCGCGAATCGTGCAATACCAGTAAGCGTAGCCCTGTCGGCTAGCCGTGTATCTGTGTTCGCGCAGATACGTGTGCAAACTGAGGATATGCATTTTCATAGACGACCGTTCAAAAACGAGTTTAGCTCGAGCAAAGATTTCTTCGTGTCTTTGAAGGTGGACGACTCGTCTTCGCAGACCTGGACCCAATGCGATAAATCGCTCCAAACGTCGGGTCTAAAATACCTACTGTCGAGCAATAGGACGGCCCCCCAGTCGTTCACGTGACGTACGCAGCGTCCCACGGACTGGTTAACCGCTCGCATCGCCTGCGTTTTATACCATTCGTCCCCGTCTCCGCCCCTGCTGCGGTTAAACTCGACCTTGACCTTTACGTCCGGACTGTGATACGACGGATAGGGTAACCCCACGGATACGACGAGTCGAGCCAGCGAATCGGAGAAGTCGACGCCTTCGCTCATTTTTCCTCTGTGCACGACTAGAAACAGGGCCACCGTGCCGGGCTCTCCGTCAATCAACGCAGTCTTGTACCTATCGAACAAGAGGTCCGAGTTTTCAGAATCTTCCAAGAACAGATGCCCGCCGACCACCTTGACCAACTTGGCCCATAGAGGCACTTTGCGCCACACGTCTCGACAGGTGTGAAGTAGCTTGTAAGAAGGGAAGAAGCACAGGACGCCAGCCTTTGTTTCGCCGACGTTTTTCTTCAGGATCTTGGTCGACTCGTAGACGACGGAACCTACGGCCTTGAGTAGCTCTTCGTTCTGGCATGCGCTGTAATTCATGTAAAACTCTTTGTCACCCTTGAGCGAATGCGAGATCCTACGGACAAAGACGTGACGCTTGGACACGACGTGTTCCTTGGCGGACACCTTGTGAGTGAAGAAGACGCCCAATTCCTTTTCGTACGACGACATCGGACTCAGAGTCCCCGAGGCCAGGACGATAGAGTGCGTGCACGACGACACAGTCTTCATGGCGTAACTCGAGTCCATGCAGGTCATCCTGAGTTCTGGCGACTCGCGACCCTGGACGACAAACATTGCAAAGCCTTGGGCACCAAATATCTCGGGGTAGTAAAACTGAGTGACGATGCGGTCAATCAACGTGGTGTTTAACCGGTCGGACAAAGGATGTCGAGACGTTAAGGGACTCACGACTTGACCCAGGCTCACGTTGTCCGTCTTGAGGTAGCGTCTCCTCTTTCTTGGCCTGGAGATCATCGCCGCGAACAATCGCATATCCAACGTCGTTCATCATGGCCAGGAGCCCCTCGAAGAATTCGCGAAGCTCGACGTAGCGAGAAAATCGTCGTGCGTACGTCTGAAGCTGCGATCTGGAAACTTGTAGGGACATGGCGTCTCTACAAAACGTTTCAATGTTGTGCGCCTCGTCGAGGATCAGAATCGCGCCGCTGAGATTGATGTTGAGCGTGCTACGGACGAAGGGATCGATCAAGTAGTTGTAGGGAGCCAGCACTATTTTCGACCTGGCTACGTAGTACTGTTCGTTGACGTAGTAGGGGCAGATATCGTTTGCAGCACAACTCTCCACCAAGTCCTCGATGTCCCTAACGTCGGGCAAACGCGTCTCTGGTCCATGCTGCTCTTTCCAATTGCGGTACAATCGGCACGTCGACGAGGCCCTGTGTTGACTGCAGAGTTGGGGCACGTTACCGCTGTGGACTTCCTGTTCCAAGAGGCAGCCTCGGTCCTTGCCGACGAGACGAGAAATGTGCGCGGCGTCTCCGATGAACGCCTTGGCCACCGCTACCATTTGGTCGAGCTGTTGGTGCGTTCTAGAGCAGAGGTAGATTTTGCCGCTGGGTCGTGTCGTTATCCATTCGCGAACGGCTCCGAGCATGGCCATTGGCTTGCCCGATCCGGTAGGAGCTTCTATCATGACGTTGGCTTTTTCTTCGAATCCGCGCAACATTGTTTCAAAGACGTCCACTTGTACGGGGTAAGGTATCCGGTCGCCCGGTAGTACGAGCCGGTAGCGGGGCGCCTCTTCCATACCCGCCAACGTTCGTTTTTGAAACGATTATACCGATCGTTCGTCTCGTCTTCGGAACTATAAATAGTCTGAGCGGAGTGGTTGACCTCGTCGTCCGTAATCTCTCCCTCCTCTTTTTCATCATCGCCATCGTTCCATTCGTCTAACACTATCCATTCTTCTTCTTCTTCTTCTTCTTCGACCTTGGTCATATCTACGTCGTTACTCATGCTTACGCGAGGAGATTAAGACGAAAACTCAACGTGCACGGTTTTTTTTTTATTTTTATTGCCCAAACAAAGGATACCTACACAACCAGTCAAGGTAATCGCAAACTCTAAAGTACCTCGGATCTACGCTCTCGTACAGGCTCATAAAATCTCGATGCACTCTGGCGTTTTTCAAGGTGCGTGGCTCGACGACGCTGCAAACGACTCGATCGGGAGGCATGTCAAGCAGGTAACTCAACTTGCGAACGCAGGCCACAAAGAAGGTGAGAGAGTCGGTCACAGTCAGACACAGAATCTTGCTGGCCTCTTCGTAGCGAAAGGCGGTCGCGTTCGCGTACACTCGACCGCTTTCGTACGTGTAGTCGCAGATCACCGAACCGAGGGCGCTTGCGTCGTCGCGGTAGAGGCGAAAGTCGATGTATCGACAGGCCGTCTTGAGGTACCAGACTTCCGTCCGAACCAGTCTCATGTAGACGTACAGGTTGAGTCTGTATCTGTTTTTCGTGCGGCTATGGAATCGATGCAGCGCTGCGCCTACCGTCATGAAGGGGCGGCCGACGAGAAGGATCGTCGCCGCGTGCATAGTCTCCAAGGCGTAGAGAAAGTCGACAAAGACGCTGGAGTCGCCGGGATTTCGAAGTCCGGTCGCGATGGTGTTTGCCAGGTTGTCGTAGTATACGCGTAACATGATTGTAACGTCGATTTCAAATAAAAAACTGAAGTTTCCCGCTTATATCGTTAGAGGAGATGGATGGTGAGAATATGGCGCGCATAAAAAACGCCTCAAACAACGTGACCCGGCAAAAGAGGACGGTAGCCAAGAATAAGAAGCAGCAGCAATTGGAGAGTCGACAGCCAACGACTGCCGTGGACGACGTTCTCTGTAAGAACGAATTGCGTCGATTGGCCAAGGAGATGGAGATCGATCGCATATCAGAGAACGTGTACGGTAACATGCAATTCGAGGTCGATAGATTCGTCACCGAGGTCGTCGGAAAGGCGGTCGTCTACGCCCAGATGCAACACCGCAAGACGCTTTTTGTAGATGACGTGACCCGAGCTCTTTCCGAATACAACATCAAAGTTTACGGCTGACGTCCAGGACTAATACAAAACACCTAACAATGTCTAATAAGAATAACGTTATACTCAAGAAGCCTCCTTCTCAGTTTGAAGAACGACTCGAAAAGTCGATGGACGACTATTTGCGAGTGCACATTAATGAATTGTACGATAGAGCCGGGGCGCACACGGGGTACAGGACCGACAGAGAGATAATGAAAGCCGCGTACGATTACATCGTGGCCAAGTATCGCAACGTTATACTTGGTCTATTTAACGACGTGACCCGAATGAACGACGTGATTAACGAATACACCGCGTTTCTTCTTCACTTTAAGAGGTCCGCCGAGCTCAAGGCCGAACACGAGAAGGTGGCCGTGCCAGCCTTAAAACACGTCATCGTCAGAATGTACAGAGATCAGAACAATCTACTCGGCAAGTTCCTGGCCACGGTGTACACGCGAGACAGACTGAAAGATGCCGGCGTCGAGGTGGTCATGAAGACCGAGGAAAAAAAGCTGTACGACGCCGACCTTCACGACGTAGACAGTTTGATCGAGACCTTTTACGACAACGGTCTGGACTATGTCGGCGTCGAGTCTTTAATTTCCAGCTACAACTCGAAGCTGAGGGGTGTCGGTACCAAGAGACGACTTTCGGACGGCGCTAGACCGTCTCTTCGGGATAGCACGAACGAGTCGCCGTCGACTCCTCCTCCTCCTCCCCCTCCTCCTAAGGACGCCCATGGAGAAGGAGTCGAGCGTCGCCCAAACATCAGCTCAGACTGCGGCGGAGGCGGCACATAGACGGCGGTCGGACGACGCGATACCGTCTCATCGGGATTCGGCTCCTCCTAGGGAAACGACGCCCAAAGAGAAGGAGTCGGGCGTCGCCCAAACGTCCCCTCAGACTGCGGCGGGGGCGGCCAAGAGACGACGGTCGGACGACGCGATACCGTCTCTTCGAGATTCGGCTCTTCCTAAAGAAACGACGCGCAACGAAAAAGTGTCGGACGTCGCCAAGACGCCGTATCAGACTGTTGCAGCGGAAGACGAAGGAAGCGGTTGGCTGTACGTCGTCGGTGGAGTTGCCGTCCTGGCCACAGCGGGAGTCGTGACTTACGCGGCAATGACCTATTATAGAAATAAACGCGCTAAAGGCGAAAACGTGTTTCTGTAGCTGAAATAAAAAAATGACCACCGACAATCTCTTGTTCAAACCTTTGAAAGCCATTCCCATAGGGTTTGAGGCAAGGTTGGAAAGTACAGTCGACGACTACTTTAAAGATTTTTACTACGCGCTGTACTCTAACGCTGGTGTCGAAACTACCCGTTACAAAGACTACGGCGACACGGCCAATCGCGTGTTTGATTACATTGTGGCGAACCACGCTAACGACATTCGAACGGCGTTGTACGCTCCGAAGCGAGCCATAGACTTCGTCTTTTCCTACACACTCTATCTCAAGAGCATTCAGTCCAAGGTCAATTCGCTGGCCAGCGAGAAATACAAGCCCGGGTTTCTGCGCAACGTAGTCATCCCGGCCCTCAAACACTTGATCTACAGAATGTATAAGGACCCAAACAACGTCCTGGGCGAATTCATGTACACAGTCAGGACCAGGGACGTGATAAAGCAGTACCCCGAGGCGTTGGGCGTGGAATTTGCTGGCGACGACATGCTTAGTAATTTGTACGACTTGGACGTGTACGACCTAGATGCCGTGGACAAGTACTTGTACGGCATTAGCGGCGGAATGTACTACGACGTTAAAACCAATACGTTTAAAAAGTACAACTCTGTGCTCGAGCGATACCAGTCCCAGATCTGGCAGGATTCCGTTCTAAAGTTTAAGCGACTCTTCGAAGAGTGGTGCAAGAAAGTCACGCGGCACTCTTCGTGGTCTAGCCAGCATCCAGCGTTCGATCCACTGCTCCGGGCCGTTTTCGATGCCGCGGGCACGCCGCAGTGGGACGCGGCGCTCGTTCGCTGGGTCGCCGCCGAGGAAGGTCAGACTCTTCGCATTTACGCCGAGTTGAAAGCCAAGGTTGAATATGCCCAGACCTTTATTGACGAAAAGTTTTCTCCGGAACTCTTGAAAGCCGTTGGCGAAATCGCAAAGATTGACAACGTCAAGCGGTTCGTCTTTCTCTCCGCACCTACGCTGTCGCCGACCGAGTTGCAGGCCATACTAGACGCGTTCGAAAAGATTTTAAAGAACTACACGGAGCACAAACATAGGGACGCGCTCGTCTGGGCGGTGACCCATCCGGCCGCGCACAAAGTCCGCGAAGAGGAAGAGACGAGGGACTTGTTTAACAAGATTAAATCTGACGAGTATTTGCAGGACGGTAGCGCCTTCATAACGTCACTATTGGCACATTACGCCAAGTTTCGGAGCCTAGAGGATCTCCTGAGAGAATTTGCTAGGGACCTCGATGCCGTTCGCAAGGACGCCGTCTTGAGAAAGCGCTGGCTGGAGAACGACGAGGAGGACATTAGGAAGGCCTTGATCGACGTCGACTGGAAGGTGCTCTACGAAAAATTTGAGCGATTGAAACCGCACCTGAACGAGTTACGACGACTACTCCTCGCTGGCGTGGGCGATAGCGGCGACGTCGATGAAAAAATTGAAAAATTGGGACCTTACTATCCTTTAATCGCGAGGCACGGCAAATGTATGTTTGACGAGGCCGACGCCGCGTCTCTGTTTGCTC